AAGAAATGGCGCGGATGCCTCTAAGCTAAGTAGGTCTTCGAATGTTTGCATGCGGCTGGAAGAAACGACACATGCTCTGAGCACATGTACTTCCTGGTTCGTCTGCCTCTGCGGTACCAAGCATAGGTGTACTCCAACTCCCGCACTACATCTAACAATTCTGCTACACGACAACGATGACTGGCCATTCTTCAAACTGTACCATACGGCCATTCTTCATACTGTACCATTACAATCATTCCTTTTTGATACAAGTCCAACTGCTACCTTTTTCAGGTACGCACGGTCCACTCGAGGACGAAAGAAGACATCAATATTGAGGATATTGACGAATAGTGCAGTACAGGCGACATGGCACGATACTCACACGACACGATCTTCACGATGACACGATATGATACTCATTATAATGCGATACTTGTTGTAGCCTTTATGAACGAGATACTGATGAATATTAAGTGGTGAGAGCGTAAATGTGTTACAAGTGATGTCGAATATTGAATTGGCTTTGGATAGACCATAGACCTTCCTACTATATATGATTCGCTAATGTCTGTCAGTGTGTGTGTGTGTGTGTGTCTGTCTGTCTGTCTGTGTGTCACGAAATTCATAGCGCCGGTCCCAGTAGCAGTGAGACATTGATTCCAAGAAGTGATGTAGGGGGTGTGACGGGAACACTACTGGTGGGAAGTGATATCAGTTGATAAGATCCGATAAGAGGCGCTTAGAAAGGGCAGGTCACCATATCCATAACGCGGGTGACAGCATCAGCTAGCTCTTGATTTTAAGATATGATATAGGGTACGGGGCAAGAACACGGCGCAGTTTGTCGACGGAGGGGGGGGGGCATTTTGCACTTTTGCTACTTCCCATCGACGTGTCGACCTATCTAGACAGCCTCTTCTCGAGTTGACAGGTTTTAACATGATGGCTTGACTACCTTGTTCCAGCTTCACAAGAGTTCACAGGTTTCGCCAGAGTGAGACATGTAAACCGGAACTGAGGAAGCAATGATAGCACAAAATGCCCCCCCGTCGACAAACAGCGCCCAAGAACACTATCGGCGGGTGACAGGAAGTGATATCAGTTGATAAGATTCGATAAGAGGCGTCAGAAGGACAAGGTTACCATATTCATAACGCGGGTGACAGCATCAGCTAGGATTCTGAAATATGAGGTATGGACTAAGAAAAATATTGGTGGGTGACAAGAACGTAAGCTGCTGATAGATTCGATAAGGGGCTTAGAAGGAGAAGGTCACCATATTCATAACGCGGGTGACAGCCTCAGCGAGGCGTTCATTTCAGCAAAGATATCTAGGGTGAGGTGGGGACAACAACCGTGGGTGGCTGGAAGCGATAACTACTGATAGGGGCTGATAAGGAGAAATT